ATTCAGCTGCTTCATTCCTGGTTGAGTAGATAGACAGCCGCTGATATCAGTGGGATCTTGCCTGAGTATATCAGTGCGAAAATTAAGAATTAGGTTCTGAAACAGCAGTTGGATTTCCCTCTTCTCCTTAATATCATACCTCTTCTTATATCCCAGTCGTTCTTCCTTTTTAAGCAATTCAGGAAAAAAAAACTTCCTCTGCACTTGCTGCGTTGTTTCCCTTCCCTCCCCCTCTCAAATCAAATTTAGAAAAACAGGTAAATAAGCTGTGTAACTACCTCTTGGCTAGCCATTTCAGCTTGATGCCCTTCACAACAATCCCAGCTGACAGGTTCAGTGCTGAGCTGCACAAAGTGCTTCCTGTCAGCATGGGTGGTCTGAGTCACTTTGCAGTGAATCTGACAGCTGAGTGCAGAGATGCAGACCTGGGGCAACAAGCTGGCTGGGGAGGTGCAGCTTGGATTTCGTTTGCTGCACATTTGTCTTGAATCCCACGGTCAGGGTATAGCAGTGAGCTAGTCTCTTCACTTGAGAAGCTAATTCTCCTGTTGTAAACAAATGTTTAGATTAGTAATTCATCCATTCATTTGCAGGACATCTATCTAGTTATCCCTGAATGACTGCAGCATGAAGTACTAAACATTGTTTATGACCTAAGCACAAGGGACTAATCTAAAATACAGGCTTAGTGTTCAGTGATTTACAACATCAGTAGCTTAGATCCTGATACAAGTTATTCCAACAAGGCAGATATTTGCATCTAAGTGGTGTCATCAGTGAATCAAGAGTGATCTCCTACACAGACGTCCTGAATTAGGGTGACATCATCTCAGATACAATGGGAATTTGCCACAGATAACAGAGTGGAAAGAGTTTTCTCCCACACCTGGACGCTTTGCATTAAGTCCAACTACAGTTAGGAGAAAGTACCAGCACATAAAGTTTGGAAAGTGGGATATTCTAGTTCACTCAAGGCTCCATCCTGCTTCTGTATCAGTCAGCCACACTTGGTTACCACAGAGCATACTCAGCACTCTCTGGCCCATTATAACTGAGAAGTCTGGCTCCTCCTTACCCTGCCAGTGGCTTTCGCTGTAATTAGCCATTCATGCTGCAACCAATTGCATGATCTAGCTCCCACAATGAATAAGATCAACTACCACAGATGTGCAAGGAAAAGAAATTAAATATTTATAAACAGTTGTATCTATTCTGTTTGTTTATTACCAATAACTAAAGGGTTTTGTCCTCAGAGAACTAGTTAACCAGGAATTTTGGCTGTTAAAGTGCAGACTTTTCTGAGTTATGCCTGAGCATAAAAGCATATGAAAATATTTACAGGGTGAACTGTCTGTATTTTTTCACCTTTGTTTAACTCCAAAATTGCAAAGAAGCTTGCATAAGATTTGCAGGAGGAAAAATAATCTTGAGCTGAAGTAACACATGGAAAATATCAGTCCTAAAATAGAGTTTATCGACAAAGTATCATCATCTGCAGAAGGAGATAAGGTAGTAAAGGCTGCAACTCACAGACAGATCCTAAGATGAGTTGCAACAATTGAGAGGGAGATGATGGCATGGAAATGGCTTCTTTCTGTCAACTTACTGGCACTAAAGAGGGCAAGGTTCAGATCCTTAAACATATCCATAAAAGAGATCCCCAAATCTACGATTATATAAAACACCTCATATACACTTACATATTTATATATTTACATAAATCAATCATTATATAAAACCCCATATATGCATTTATAAATACATTATAAATTATATCTATAAATCAATATCGCTATTTCTATATATATAGATAAACCATACATGGTATTCACTTTTTTTTTTCATAAAATGCGTTGTCTTTCAGATTTTTGAGAACAGTGGCTTGTTAAAACGGGAGTTGTCACATACAATATTTAACAGATGTCTGGTTTTAGATAACATGTTCATTGACAAGCTGTGGTTCTCTCCTGAATATTTTTATGCCCTAAAGCTTGGGTTTGCCTACATTATTTCTCTCCTTCCTCCTCCCCCACCCATACCTTTCCCACTTTCTTCTTCCCTGCCTCTCCAGGGTCTACATGGCAGCTACAGGGCTGAGGGGTACTCTGCAATTTTGGTTTGCATCTGGTGTGAAAAGCCTGGCCTCTTGCTTACTCCCTAGCACCCCTGTGTGCTGCTTCCTCTCAGGTTCGTTTCCCTGAGGACAACTGAAGCTGGATTGTGTTCCAGAGCAGCAAGACTGAGTTATCTGGCTATTATTTGCACATCTGTCCTCCTGGGTTCTGTGAAGCCAGAGAGAAACTCCTTGGAGTTTATAAGACACACTTTAGAATGAGAAAGAAGGCATGTATATATTTCACTCTGGAATTCTCAATCAGATGCTAATTCATCTGTAGTGTACTCCTTTATCCCAGTGTTTGACCTGTTCCTGCTGGAGCTATGGGTGACTGTAAGTGGATGCACGGAGATGAACACGATCAAAAGATCTCAGTGAAAGGTGAGAGGAGGCAACAGAGTATTCCTCACGAAGCAGAATTATACCAAAAATGCCTAGTTGTTGGGTTTGCTCTCTGTATCCATTTATACAAGACAGACACTGTACTCAGAATTTCAAACATAATTTCGTAAGTATCAGCACAACTGTGGACAACAGAGTTATATTTTCTCTTGAGCAAAGCGCAATCACGATGCCAAAACGACCAGACTTACAAATCATAACTACTGAGGACAACGGCACAGTGCCAAGCATTAAAATAAAAATAAATTATTAATATTTTATTTCAACAAACTCAGTACTTTAATGTTTCTTTTTTGACTCTTACCTTCCAGACAGCAAAAGACAATGTAATACTATGTCTCAAATGACTTACAGTGGCAACACTGACCTCAGATCCTGAATCAGAGTCTTTTAATAATATGCAAATGATGTCTCAAGTCACTAAGATGTCAGCAATCCACACTTGCAGATAATAAAAAGTGCATACGGTTCCTCTCTGACAGACATTACATCTTGAGAGAGGCATTTCTGTGAAGCAGCAGATCCAGCTCCTGGATCCCACCTAGTGGAAATCTCCCCTGACGTGACAGTGTGATTGCAAAAGATGTAACTGGTGGCACCTTGCAACCTCAAGAAAGAATTGCTCCCAGTACCACCTGAGTTTCCACCAGCATACTTATCTCCTCTAATGTGCAAAAGCAAACTGTGGAGCAACCTTGAAAAAGTACTGATCTCTTCCATAGTTTAGTGGAAATTTAAGTAGTAGTGAAAAACATCAAACACATACGAACACACAGATGATATACACATGCATACACAAAATTAGAATACTATTGACTTTAATAGACTTGCTCCTACTTTATGCGGGTTTGAAAGATGACCAAATGTCTGGCCGTGCACACCACCAGTGACATCAGTGATGTGTGCAGAGGAAGTATGCACACGCTATTTAAAAAACTAGAGAATGTGCTGGTTAAAGAACTGGTACGAAAAATGAGAGACTGAGAAATAATTCCCAAGTATGCCCTAGATTTCCTCAGAAAGTGTGGCCAACTCAATACCTCCATGTCACAGCTGTCCATGAGTAAAATGGGAATAACAATTTTCCATTCCACTGTCTCTTTCAGCTGAGAAGCTCCTACAGGCTGAAGGTTGTCTCCTGTTGTATATGTGTGTGGATTTTAATTTAAGCACAGCTAGGAATGCTGTGTACATGATTCAACATCGTGTAATGTTCAGTCATGAACAAAGTAATCTAAAAAAATATTCTACAGTTTTCTGTTGTAAAGAGTAATTTACTGTTATGAGAAAATACACTTTATATTTTTGAATGTACACATTTTTACTACATTTGAAACATTAATGAGTGATTTTAATTTTGGGATGAGTTATATCAAATGGTTGTGCTGCCATTGAGAACGACCTCAACAGGCTGGAGAAATAGTCCCAGAGGAATCTCACAAAGTTCAGCAAAGGAAAATACAAAGTCCTGCACCTGGGGAGGAATAAGTCCAAGCACCAGTAGACCCTAGGAACTGACCAGATGGAAAGCAACTTGGAAAAAAAAGGGCCTGGGTGTCATGGTGGACAGCATGTTGAACACGAATTAGCAATGTGCCATAGCTACAAAGAAGGCTTCTGGGTTGCAGTAGGAAGAGCAGTGCCAGCATTTCAATTGAGGGGATCCTTCCCCTCTATTTAGCAGTACTGTGACCACAACTGGAGTGCTCTTTCCAGTTCTGTGCTCCCCGGTAGAAGAAAGACATGGACAAACTGCAGTGAGTTTGGTGAAGACCCACTAAGATGATTAAGGGACTGGAGGGCCTGATGTACAAGGAGAAGCTGAGAGAGCTGGGATTGCTGAACCACAAGAGAAGGCTCAGGGGGATCTTGTTAATGTGTTCAAATACCTCTTGGGTGTATTAAAGAAGACAGAGCTAGACTCTTCTCAAGGGTGCCTAGTGAAAGGACAAGATGTAATTGGCACAAATTGAAACATAGGAAATGCAATTTAAACATAAGAAAAAACTTTTTTACTGTAAGGGTGGTCAAATCCTGGAACAGGTTGCACAGAGGGTTTGTAGGGTCTCCATCACTAGAAATATTCAAAACCCAACTTTACAGCTGGATAAATCCCTGAGCAACCTCTCTACCTGACCCTGCTTTGAGCAGGGGGTTGGGCTGGATGATCTCCAGAGGTTTCTCCCAACCTTAGCTATTCTGTGATTCTGTTGCTGAATGGTTTCTATGCACTTTTCTCAGCTGGGAACTCTCATGGTGTAAGTATTAACAGATACTAGGACTCGTCATTGTTGCTATGCTGGTAATGTGGTAGCCTCATAGCCCTACTGTCTTGCATGTAATTTCTGCAAAATACAAGGTTTTGGTTTTTTACTCCCTGTATCATGTTAATTTATGACATACAGTCATATGATATACAGTGATTGGTCCTATGTAAAGCTATGGTAATTGCAGAACGGGAAAGGGAATTCAGAAAACTTACTCATTTCCATGTATTCTGGAGTCAGCCCAGTGAAAGGTTCCAAGATGTAGTCAAGATCCCATTGCTGAGGATCCTTTGATTGGTTGGTGTCCATTTCCTTTGGCTCAGTTCTTTCATCCTTCAGCTTCCTGAAGAGCTTCTTTAGCTTCCTAAGGAACAAAAGTTCAGACTGAATAAGCCTTTTTTTTTTTTTTTCCCACCATAAAATTTGGCCCAAGTCTTTGCACAGCAACACAAAATCCATATCACATTAATTTGGTGCCCCATAGGCTTAGTTTACACCATCCTCTGAAGTTCTGATGCTGCTTGTTATCGGGTGACAGGCTGCTGGAGGCAGCAGTTCCTGTGTTCCTGTGGCAAGAAGAAAGTTACAACAGCATAGTGCTGCTAAGATGGAGTTGAACCTAGCACTTTTTAATAATCTTTTCTCTCTAGATATGTGTGAAATGGGCATCTTCCTGAAGCTCAAGCACCTTGGACATAAATAATGTTAGGAATAAGCAATACTCTCAAAAACAACACACTGAGCACCTCTCCCTTAAGAAAGGAAGAAAGAAAGAAAGAAAGAAAGAAACAAACAAACAAACAAACTACCAGGCAGTGATGTGATACCTTCATACCACATATCTACCATAGGTGCACTTTTCTCTCGCAATGAAACTTGGGAACTTCCAATACAGTGTACTTTTAAGGTCAAAATGACTGGACATATTGGCAAACAAACAGGGTGCAAGAATGTACCGATTCCTAAACCTGGTGGACTTATGAACATTTTTAGAAAAACTGCCTGGTTTTCAGAGCAAAAGGAAATGAACACATCTGCTAATAAATCTGCAGCACCAAAAAAGGAAGTGTCTCCAAGATACTGATAGGTCCAAAGCCATTTAGGTGCCTAAAAATTAATATTATTGACTTAAATCCAGGCCTGTGACCATCAGAAAACACCTGCAGCTCTTCAGGTTCCAGTGCTCTCTTGTCACAAGCACATATACCTGAGTTTATCTAAACAGACAAAAAAGGATGCTGCTTGTTGACCCTTCAAGGGGGAGCACTCTTTTCTTTAACCAAAATGATGTTACAACTAATAAAAATAATAAAATATGTACCCATGAAAAGTTAAGTATAAACAATGTCTTAATTTTTAAAATGGCCTTTCATCCGGGAGGAACGTAATTCCCCAGCTTCTATCTAATGCGTAAACAGGGTTCAAACTAATAGAGAGAATCAGAATCATGAAAGAGTTTCACAAGGTCAGCAGAATTTGGTCTCAGAGAGGTGTATCATTCCTGTCATGCACAAACAGAAATCCTACCTTAGTTACTTTGGATTCATTAACAAATTATTTCTAGAAAAGTGTCTCTTGGGATATATGCAGTAACAGACTCTTCAGTACTCCACAATGCAGCTCATACCGAAACTCATTGGGGAAGAACTGAAACTCGCTGTAACTTCTCTGCAAGTTTATTGCTAAGCCACTGGAAACTAGAAAATTATATAACTACTAATATAAAAACTGAAATATTTATTGAAAGCTTATTTGAAAAATACATATTTCTTGAGTAATCTTTTTTTCCTGAGAGTTTACCAATCACGTATAAGGCAGGGTATGCAGATCTATGTAGACTCTGAAAAACTTACTTCACCAGGAGTTAGATGCTTTACGTAGTTGCACAACCATATAATCTTCCTTCAGAGATTTCTCATAAGAGTTTTAGAGGTTCTGAATTTTCCTTCAGATACACCACAGTGTGTATAAAAGTGGAATACTGAGCTAGCACAGAACCACTGTTAAGGTGAGACTTGGAAATTCCTGATTTCAGTCAGGAAATATTTCTGCTACCTGAAAAGCGTGTGTCTTGCAAGACCAGCTATGCTGGTGAGTTTTCACTGCTTCTGAAGCAGAAAAGCAAAATTGTTTCCTACCTTTTCTTAAGTAAACACAGATCAGTTATGTCTCCCAGCTCCGGTAGATCAGAAGAGGTTATATCAGAGGTTCTCATTTTGACCGTTTTTTACAATAACATCATCCATTTTGGCCAGACTATGAATTACTCACATGGGTGAGCAATTATTTCTGTCAGTATTTCTTTGGTCCTCAGTAGGAATAGTAGTATCGATCACTGTCTCCCTGAGATGGGGTTACGAATTTCATGATACTGACAAATACATGAATTTCATAGGTAATATAATCCCAGAGTAAAATGAATCCATCTCTAAATGAAGAATAAAGCATTCCCAATGCACCCCACAGATGACACTTTAAATGCGTATGCACCAATGACTTTATGCTATTTTACACATTCAGAAATTTCCATGGAAAAATGCAATAGAGTGAGATATTTCTTCAAAATCAAGGACGTGAAATACAGTTGAACTAGCATAATACATCAAGATTTATACTTACTGTATGACTTCATTTTGCAGATGAAATTTATCTTTCACAAATATGCATCACATTATTTTATAGTTCTTCACACATGTGCCATACGAGTGAAAATCCAGACTAATTCCAGTGATGTTTTGCCAGTAGTGTAAGCAGGGCTCCCACAAACTTTTCCCCCACAGCTTGCAATAAACCCTTTGAACTAGAGGTGTGTGGCCTGGAGACAGGATTGTATGGGGAAATGGTAGGGGATTTCATTTATACCTCCAGTTAAGCAGAACCGCTTTCTGAGACCCTAACTTAAGTAGCAGGGCAAGGCTAGCTGGCAAACACACTAAAGGCTTTGCTGGGTAGATATATTGTTTTGTTCCTGAATATACGCTGAGCCACACAGGACACTGTGTCACCACATAACACAAGGCTCTATAGCAGCATGGAAATGGCTACAGTGGCCGCAGAGTTTCTACACTGATCAGTGTTTACAGGACCCCTTCGATTTCATCACCAGTACAGAGGAAACAGGGATTGGCAGGCACTTTTAAAACAGATCTAGATTGCATCAGGCTCTGTCAGTCTCAGGATCACAAAGCTACAAAAATGAACAGATCAACTCTAGCTTTTATTCCAGGTACAGCTAAAATGGAGCTCTTAGATGGCAAAATACTCAGTGCTTTGGCAATACGCAGATATATTTGGGCTAACCAAATACTTTTGGCACCCAGAACATTCAGTTTACACAGTTTTAATAAAAGGGCAGAGGGATTTAAAATACTTCACAAGAAAGAATTAGATGGACCCTTACGAAGACATTTACTTCCTATATCATGCAAACTCAGCCATTTCAAGACACTAAAGTTTCCTTTCCCCCTCTCTGCTTTTATGGCAATCAAGGGAACTTGTCGTGACAGAGGTGATATAGTATTCAGAGGGTAGGAGACTGGGGGCAGGATTTAACACAGTCAAAGAATTCCCAGGATGCTCTTCCAGCATATCCCAAATAATTTTCTAACGTGAGGGACTCTCAGAAGACAGTGAACAGTAAGTTCAAGGCAGTGCTGATTTCTGTTCCAATAAAATGATATGAACTATAAATGTCCCTCACATTTTTGCGAGCAGATGAGATTGAAGAGCATCTCACAGTCACTGTGCATCAGCTGAGACAAAATTTGGGTGTGTTTAGATGTGAAGTCTGTACATGTGTGATCTAATCTTCTGGTTATAGCACCACAGAGTCAAGTTATGGAGTTCAATGCATACACACAACTCCCCTGAGAACCCAGTAACTAAAACAATACTTGTTGTTTTTAATGCTTATTTGGGAGTACACTAAATTCAGGGCTCAGAATAATTTTTAATTTTTCATCTGGATATCTATAAACCAGGCATGAAGTGTGGCACCCTTAACCATTTTGAGTTAAGCTTTGAAGACTGTTCTTATTTTTATTTTTATGTAATTTTTTAAAGGTTCAACCAACTGAAAGCAGGCAAGCTAATTCTTTCAAATACTCTACAAAGAATGCACCTTTGTGTCATATCCAAGCACGTGAAGTTTGAGACCAAAAAGAAATGTGTCAGAAAGTTAAAGGAACAGGGAACAGGAATTTGCATAGTGTTATTCTCCAGCTATACAGCAGTAGGGCAATGAAAAGGAGTTTTGCAGAACTCTATAGCTGCATATATGATTGTGTTATTAAAATTTTTTAAATGCACAGTGTAAAACTTGTTTTTTAATTTCTTAGATCAACATTTTTAAACAAAGTTGACAGACAGTGATAATCAAGAGATATTTTAGCTTCTGATTTCTGCATGCCAGGCAGCCCCACCAGTGAGAAAGAGGTGGGTTTGCCCGTTTAGGATGAGGGTCTGAGAAGTCTAGTGCTGAAAAGGCACATGCAGCAAAGTTTCCTTACTCTGCTAGTAGTCACATGAATCTGGACAAAAAGAGAAAACTGTAGAACCATAGAATAGACATTCTTTCTGGTACTTTTGGAGATGAAAATCAAAAACCAAGATACATTCTTAAGGAGACTGAAGTGTGTGAAAAAAGAACAAATGTAGGATGAGGGAGGAAGAAAATGAAGACCAGGGTTTTGTCAGAAGGCTATGTCTAGAGCAGTTAAAAATGTTTCAGTTTTTCACAAGGGATTGGCACCAAACAGTGTTAGATAAGAGGTGAGAACAAGGTTTAATTATGCTGTTCTTAATTCCTAATATAACCAATAAGCATCACAGTATGCAAGGTAATCAGCATCTGAAGAAAGCATAAAATCACTACGGGAAAATGTCCCACCCCTGAAGAAACCATGAGAAAAAAGATGAGGAAAAGAAGAGATAAATCAAAACCAAAGTGATCCTGTCTGTGCTGCAAGAACATGGTGCACTTACATGAAGACTCCTTTGAAAAAAAAGACACGCGAATTTATACAGTAAAAAGGACTAGCAGGATTTGGGGGATCTAGGTGAAGACACGATGATGACTCAGGTAAAATGAGAAATTTGTGGAGTGAGGCTGAGTGGAACGTATAGAGACTGGAGAGGCAGGGCAGCTGGGAGGCAGGTTGAAACAGGACAGATGCAGGAAAAGGATTTTGTTGGTGCAAGTCTTTATGTCTTCAGTGGCCGCGCAGTCCTCACAATGCATCACCACCAGAGCTTGCCAGAAAGACTGGAACTGAGGATCAGTTTACCAATTTCTCAAGACTCCCAGTTAGCAAATGCGCTTGGGTACTACAAAGGCAGATCGCCCGTGACAGTCACCAAGAACGGGATTGAAGTATTGCAAGGCAATACTTGCTAGAACAGACATGCAAACAGAGACTCCACACGAAAAGACAGAAAACCCCTAGAATCTACCTGCCAGGGATGAATGGTTATCTACACCAGGTGATTTTTAAGGCTATCCTTCCAGTTGATGCTTTTTCCTTTGTGGTATGATAGAAAAGGGTACAGGGAGAAAGCTATACAGAAAAGACTATTAGGTTGAGTAGCTGGAGCACTTCTGTCTAGAGAGAAGGAGGTGCAGTGACAGATTCTTGTGTTCTTGCCTGTAATTTTGTTTGGTGCTTTCAGGAAGGAGAGCCGAAGGTCCAGGTTTTTCCTCAGTCACATTGCTACAGTCTGTTCACATAAGGAGAAACCATCTCATATTCATAGGTAGAGGGTAAAGGAAGGACACAGGGCGAGAACAAAAGGGCCTTAATCTCATTCTGTTCCACAAATTTATGGTATAGTCATGCTTCCTTGGCACATTCAGACCTCCTGTATTCTACGGGAGTTTCAGTTGTGTTTGGGACTTTGGGATTTACTGATTTCTCAAACAGAACAACTTAAAACAGAAAAGAAAAAAACAAAAACAACCAAACAAACAAAAACAAAAACAAAACCAACCCCATTAATTAAGAATAATTTATTAAAGGTGAAAAGAAACATCAAAGTTAATAGCTATGAAAAAGTTTGATTTTAATTACCTTTGGTATTTTCATCCAGCATACTCAGTGCATTTTGAAGTAACTGACGGAAACTGATGTTGAATAAAAAGGCCAAAATCATGGCCCCGCTAAAGTCAATGGGAGTTTTGTCACTGACTTCAACAGGGCCAGAATTTCACCCTAAGGGTTTATCACCAAGGTCAAAGACAGAGAGTAATAAAATAACCACACGGATTTTTTTTCAATAAGTTCAGAAAAACAGAACTGAAGACCGAAGAAAACAAGTCTTAAAGGAATTCTAGATTAAGACCCTCAAGCCCTGCAGCCTTTTAGGGTCAATTCCTATGGCAACAGCAAAAGAATTATGGATTGTGAGACATCTGAGTGAACTGTAGCATATTTACATCTGTTAAACTTGTGAATTCCAGCCACACAGTACACACATTTCAATTCAAGAAGGCTTAGTTTTCCATAATTCAAATGTTGTTGCATTTACTGAGCTGTTTTGATATTCTTGGGTGCAGATATTCAAAAAGAAATCACAGAAAGTTTTAGAAGACCAACAAGTCACATCTGTTGTAGCTGTGCAGCAGTTTCTCCAGAAACATTGAAGAAAAAAGTGAGGATGTGTCCCAATGACCCCAAACAATGCAGGGCTGCCATCTGAAGTTTAAATCTGTAACTCCTCAGCCAGCACTGACCATGGATAAGCCAGAATGAAGACATTGAATGATGGTTCCCAACCGCAGCAACATTTGGGGCATTAAAGACATAATAGATGGCTGTTGTTTATGGACACAGTCTATCTTCTACTTAGTAGTATTTTTTAGGGGAAAGAGACAGCAAATGGGAGTAAGGCTTTGTGATGTTCTGCAAAGCAATTAAATGCCATGGATTTTATGGCTAATTAAATCAAAATGTTTTCTGAAAATAATCCTGAAATCCCGAGATTTCAATAAAGAAGAAAACTCTTTTGATCTGGGTCATCATATAACTTAGCAGACAAATTCTTCCATGTTACAGATATATAAAGGACAGTTCCGGGTTCTGAAGAACAAATCATCATTTATGATAGTCCCTTCTGCCTCTCCGTATGGGTAAGGTTGATTGCGGCACTTGTACTCTGCCCTCAGTGAAAATACGGGGAGCCAATGGAAGAATCTGTGTTATTCACTCTGACTCTCATTCCCTCTGAAGGGGCACAAGGCAAGTGGGCAAAAAATACAGCTACTGAAACTGGAGATAGCAAAGATTGATCTATCTTTCTGCCACAGGAGGGATGTTCATCACTGTGCATAGCCTGTGCAAAAGTAGATACTGGAAAACAGAACAAGGGCTCGATGAAGACAGAGATATCCTGAAAAGGAAAATAAAAAACTTATTGGTAGAAAAAGGATAATCTAACAGAGGAGATGAGCTGACTGTAAGAGATTACCAAGGAAAACAGGTAGCAGAACAACAAATAGGATACAGACAGAAGCCAGACGAGAAGGTTGGAGGGCAGAGAGAGAGGGTATGTTTATCTATACGTCTGTCACATCTCCTAACAACAGCATATATAGACATAGTAGATTATGCATGAGACACAGACATGCCAGAACTACTACTTGTGCAACACATTCATGTTTGGAGCCCCTTTTGGTCTGTATTTATACGTGTCCAGCAGACCTACGCATAGCCCTCTGAAAATCTGATTGGTTGGTACTCAAAGTGTGTGTGTGTGCCTGTGTATGTGGAGCAGATGAGGTAGAAGAGAGTACCATTAAAGGAGTGGTCCATGCAGAAGTACAAGGCTAATTCTGAATTAATTTATTTAATTGTTCAGTAAAGCACTGGACTTCTCCTGGTGCAAACCGGTCTGGTGAGAAAAGCCGAGCCCTACAGATAGACATGCGATTTTCTTGAGAATGCAGGCAAGCAAAGGAAAACCAGATGTGCTTACTTCAGGATGACAAGATAGCATTGTGACTGAAATGAAGTATTTCTCAGGGAAGAAGAGGATGAAAGTATGTTTGTTCTTAAACAGTTATTCAGTTTTAAAAATTGAAGCCACCATAAGTTGTTGGCAGAATGGTGGGTGAGCAGAAATGTGGGGGAAAAATGGGATGAAATTGTCGCATTCTTGCACCAAGAGATGTAGTGAGGGAATTGAGAAATAATTTTACAGGAATTTTATGTTTGGACTGGATTGTCTTCTGCTTTCATGAATCAAAAATAATAAATACAGTATTTCTAACATAAAACCCCTATTAAAAAAGTCTAGTAGCAGTAAGTTTTTGGAAGATGGGAAAAAATCACAGCAGATTTACACTGAGAAAGCTTTAAGCCTTCAACATGTCAGATATTTTGGGAATGATTTACCACCCTTTTCTCAAAATAAACTGTAAAGTCAATGAGATGTAGACAGAAAACAGGCCTCCCTAGTGAACTTTGACACAAGAATAATGAATTGTTCCATAAGCCACATCTGATTTGTTTGGGAATTATTTTTTTTTTTCTCTCTATTTAAATTTCTTCCAACAAGCAGTTCTTGCTAGGGAAAGGGAGGAAAAGGGCTTATTTTAAAAATATTTCATAATTTTTTAAGCATCACTTCTTTTGGTTTCTAGTTAGCATCTTCAAGGACTTCCTTAGGGATATGATCCAAAAGATACTAACATTGAATTGAAAGATTCTGACTAACTTCAGCAGAGCTGAGGCTTGTGTGTAAGCCAGACTCTTCATCTAACACAACATTTCACAGACCGCTGCCACCAACAAGGATGATTCAGTTAACACAAACAAGAGCAAACCTGCCAAGAGGCAGGAGCAGGACATTCTCAGTGGATTCTCTTGCTTGAAGATCACCTTGACACCAGAGGCAGACCAAGAGACATTTCCTGCTGCATTTGGAGCAGAGGACGTTGCTGTGGCAGAAAGGCACTGAGCAGCATGTCAGCATCTCTCCCATACCCTAGCTCCTGCATCACACAGTGACATACTGACATACAGGCACCTTAGAAATGTGTGGATGTCATCTGTAAACCCATAAAATAGTCATAGATCAAGTAATACATTTTAACATCTTTTACGACCTATTGCTTTTCTCCTTGCCACCTCTCCTCCACTTTATACTAATTTGTATTCAATGCTGCAATTCTGAAAGCTTCTCTAAAACTTCCCAAGAGATCTATCATACCTAGCCTGTTTTTGCAGGTTTCTAAAATTAATTTAGATCAATTTTTTAATATATTCAATCACTTACTTTAAGCCATTTACTGCAGATATAGCCAATTATTCAACATAAAATACAGCCAGATCATTTCATCACAACCAAAAATGTGATTTATCACCACATTCAATTAGAACACATTGAAGTCAGTGGCAAAAGTCCCATTCAGTTGAATAAGGATCAAGTTTTTAATTTACAGTGTCTTCGGAATAATGCATGGTAATGGAGAAGGCTAGGATACATACGGGATTCCAATTTCAAACAGATTGTTTTGAATCAGTTGTTTTCCAAGCATAATGATGCTTAGCTGAATACAGAGTTCCATCAAACAGCCTCCTGGAGCACACTGTAATCAAACAAAACGGTAGAGTGTGAAGGGTGTAAGATAATTAATTTAAAAGTATCCACTTGGAAGAGCTACCGGTGTCTATATGTGCCCCCCACCCCCGCCACCGATTTGTGCATGAGCATGGATATTGTCGATCATTGCTGTTCTATACTTAAAAAAGTATTTCACCTCCACTAATAAAACTGCATTATGGAAAATACGCAGAGCTCTGAAATAACTTACTGTGCCCTGGGGCTACTATATTTCCTTTTAAAATATTTACTATATAATCAATGTAATAAACATAATGCAGTATCACCAATACTCTTCCAACCTGATGTGTCCCAAGAGGGGAAGAAGGTCTTCAATCTTGTAAAGACTTATGCGTAGGCTTTATTGTAAAACCTTGAGTACGTCTATCAATTTTCACAGGAATACTCACAGCAGTTAAAAGGAATTTTGAAAAAAAAATAATTTACAGGTTTAGCACAAAACGGTTATAGCTTTTCAGACTATTAAAATTGCTAGACTTCTAGTGGTCTGCAGAACGTGAAGCCAGATTCAAGTTCTGGCTCTGCCATAGGTTTCCCAAGGGCCTCAGTCAAATAATTTAATCTATTTGTGCCTTAGTGCCCAGTTGTAAAGCATAGAAATGGTGAAACTTCACCTAAGAAAGACTGTGAAGTACTCAGAACTGCAGAAAGAGAGAACATACAGGGTGCCTTAGGGGGAAATTTTGGGTTTTGTCTATTTATGTTGAAGATTTAACAGTTCGTTTTAACATGTTTTCCATTTTTCCCTTATTGTCTAGACTCCACTGAAATACACTATACACACATATCTCTTTTTGTTAAGGATTTTTTTGTTTGGATTCCAGATGTAATTACCTCTTCCATTCGATAACCATCAAACACATATACGTAATGACCAGGACGGCCAACGAACCTGAAAGCAATAACAATATATGAAATAATACAACAATAGGAAAAAAATAGCTAACAACTGTTCATTCATATTAACTAGCTACTTCAACACGAATTTTAAGACTTGACACCTATTCAACTTCAATTGTTTAGAATTATTTCAAAGTAGCAGGCCTCTACAAAGGTTTTTCTACTACATTTTGATTAAATAATTTTAATAAAACATTTTTCTGCACTAAAAATAATAATAATGTCCCTTTCTTGGTTAGAGATCACAAACAAAACTGAGAATATATATCCTAACTCACATTCTCTTGCATCTGAGTAACGCCCTGAACGGAGTTATTACACATCTATACACAGTCAAGGCTCTTCTGACTACACAGGGAGAAACAGTGAGATTGACTTTATTATTACTATACAACACACACAAAAAATCATTAAAAAAGAAAGAAATTGGTGATACTTTTCATTAATGTCTTACAATATTTACAGCTGCTGGTAAAATGTATCATTAATTCTGAAATCAATGATGATGAATAGGATTAGTGAAGAGTATAGATTAACAGACTTTACAGCCTGCAAAAGGAACAGAAAAAGGGTATGAAAGAGAATCCAGAGGATGTTTTAAACATTTTTGCCAAAGTTTTAGCAAGCAATCATTTTAAGCTTCCCATTCAAAAGCATGTGTTATACTGTGGATAACTGGGTCCCAAAAGACGATGATCCTGAACCCATAGGAAGTCACACTTATTTAGCAGGACAGCTGAATTAGCTTTTTGGTAATTCAGTTCATTTGCCAAAACATGGAACTTCCAGTTGACTATAACTATTCCCTAATTTAACTTGATCCAGGCGAAGAGTGCAAAATGTTGAGAAAGTAATAGAGAAAGTAGTTCCATAATTTTAAATTAAATTAAAAGCTTTCTTTGTTAAATGATGCTTCCAGAAAATGGGGAATTCTATTTTTTTTTTTATTTTAAATATTTTAAAATGTGGAAAGTGAAGACCTGTAAGCAATACCATTCACTCATAAATGCAACACCCTTTTTTAACTAAAAAGAATTGTTTTCTGAGGTGTCAATTGTTTTTATTTTAGTAAGAAAACAAAAATGGTTGCATTTCAGAACAATGCTCTACTTAGAAGAGAGACAGGACAGTATTCAACATCATGCCCTGCCATTCAAAAGCAAGCTTTAGTCAACCCTGTTTATGATATTTTTTCACAGCTGGACAGTCCCAGATTTACTTAAGTAGCCCTTTGTGCCCATTTTTAAACACAGATCCACTAATATAGATGTATATATATATATATATATACAGATAGATATCTATATACTTAAATATCTATATGTAAAGGAAATTTATCCCACCTTCCTTTAAAAAAGGCAACATAAAAAATCGGTGCATAAGAATTCACAAACTTCAGTAGGAATGCCTTCAAAATCAGTCTCTCCTCAAAGGTTTTCTCTGTTTTTGGTACCTCTGGGGAAAAAAAAAACAATAAAAAACAAAACAGAGAAATCAAACAGTAAATATGTAAACATCCCTGATATCTGCAAATACAACACCAAACTGCAGACTTTGAGCTCATACTGGTTTTAATTCTGCACTTTTAATGTGTACCCATGTACACTAGCTCTGCCTCTGCCTCCTGACTTCCAGAATCTTTCCAAATTTCCAGACAGAAACTGAAAATTCTTTGATAAAAACATAAACAATGACAACATAATGAACTTGCTTCTCTGATAGGCCGCTGATAGCTTATTCCAAGTTGCTCACGGCTTTCTATGCGATACCAAAAAACCCAGCAGATCCTGACACCTGGTCTGGCCCTGACAATACGTCATTTCATTTCCAGTCTGTTTTATTGACTTGCTGAAAGGCCTGGACAGACCACATCACCTTCCTCTGCTTCAAGCCACATCTCTGAAATTTTAGCATTTACTCTGACATCTATTATATTATTAACTACATAATATCATTAAATATATTTTATTAACATAAAGTATATATTATTAAGTGTAATAGATAGCTGGAAATAATTATTAGATATTTGCATAGTTCTCCTACTAGCTACTAGAAAAAATAATTGGCTCAATACTCAATTGCATAAAGCAAAAGGCAGTATAAATGGCTTTAATGTATATAAGCATATGCATATTGACATACATATCAGTTACAGAACTGAAAGAAAAAAACATTAATATTCTCAGTTCATGAATGATGAAAGCAAAGTACAACGATTTTCATCCAGGAAAAACACCTTAAAAACCTTCTTAACTTTATGTGTACAAGCCTTTTCTTCTATTTGTTTAACACTAAATACAAGACTAAGTACCTTTCTGAAAAAGGCATTAAATGAATTGTTAATTGCCATGCAAATGTCTGCATCTGCTGATGTTTCTCCATTCACTATATATATTCTACATTTCTAGACTTGTTTAGATAACTTGCAAAAATGTGTCTTAAACAATTTCAGTATTCATTACTTTGTTCCCAGATTTAATTCCAATTTTTATGGAAATTTTCTAGCAATAGAACACCTAGGTATAAGACAGGGGCTTTTCAAATTGACAGTAGGATCCTCTTTTAAAGATTTTATATGGGTTAAATTCTTGTATTGCCATGCTCATCCTGAGCCATGAACTAATGTGAGAGCAGGTAATTTTATTGTGGTATGTTCTTGACCTAATTTCTGCAGCACAACAGAAGGGTGAAATAAGGTAGATCCAGAGCTTTAAGAACTTAATTAAAATACTGCTGTACTTTTACAGTTTTGTTTTGGGGCACAGTTTGGGTGTGTTTTCATTGCTTTGAGGGTTTTTCTTAAGGAAGAAGCATGGTCTATATTTGAGCATTAAAGTAATAGCAAAACTCTAATATGTTCCCACTGCCCAGCTTTATTTGTGATACTTTCAAATATATTTCATAAAAGGTCAATATGTTATCTGGTGAGCCCTAAGCCATCATTCACCTTTATGTACAGAAAAGCTTAATTAAACCTTCAAAGGATTAGAACAATTTGTAGATGACCCCATATGCTGGACAGATTCTCAGGACAACAGCTCAGGGCAAGAGGAATATCAAATAACAGCGGTGCAGCTTTTAATTTGAGGGAGAAAAATCCTAGCCTTTGCCTTATGGAGAACTCCCACAAAGATGAGCTCAGCCTCTGGATGAAAATTTGCACACCATATATGGTTCCAGAGACTCGCTCAGCACTTCACTCCCTCCCCACACTCAGATATACTATACCATTTCAATAGAGGCATGCACAGAATTTGTCCTCTAGCTAGTGGAGTCTGCCACACAAGAAACGCATCCAGCCAGAATAGATGCATTAGCAAGACAAAAAACTTTCCAAAAAACCCCAACAACATAAAGTCGTAATGTATGGTTGGTTGTGCAGCCAAAATTGTTACACCAAAATTGGGCAGCTGAAACTTTCCAGGTAGCAAATGAGCTGAGATATCTGGGGCGTAGGCCTTAGCTCACTGAAGGAATTGTTGTCTTTATAAGGCACAAACTCAAGCAGGTTTTGATTTTGTCCCCATTTGACTGGTTCTTCCTTGACCTAAGTGAAGTTACAAGTGAGCAAACGAGTTGTAAGTAGTCTGACACAACCTGATTATTGAATATGACATATTCAACCTGAGAACACCAGGATATAGTCAACACTTTTGCTGGTCTGATCTGTGGCAAGAGGATGTCAGTGCCCTGCTCTGCTGGATCCACAAGAGTTGCATGGAGTCCTAGTGCATCTTGTACGAGCTCTCTGTATTGATTACAACAATACTACTCCATTTTTTCCCCCCAAGCACTATTTCAGCAGGTATTGAGGCAGATGTGTTACTCCGATCCTACAAAGAATGCAATTGCTACTGGTGGTACTATTCTTGCGCTTACAGATGTACTTGATTTTTCACTTGAGCAAAGATTCAAGTGTGCTTGGGGTTGGAATAGAAACCTACGCTGTCAAGTGCTATTCCTTCAGCCCAACAAATGTGTTCCTCAGCTTTTCGATCAATTGCAGAGTGAAAAGAGAATTGAGTATATTTTTCTCTGCTCAGCAAAATGGATAGCTTTTTGATCAATTGCAGAGTGAAAAGAGAACTGAGTATATTTTTCTCTGCTCAGCAAAATGGAAGTTCACACAATAAGGAACATTTATCAGCATGAATGAATTGTAACTTTTTTTAACATTTTGATTACAGTTGACAACTAGCACTGGAGATTGCTGCCAGAATGAACTTTATTTTGATTACAGCTGACAACTGATCCTAGCACTGGAGATTGCTGCCAGAATGAACTTTCTAACTCGTGTAATTTGTAGCACTAGAGATTACTCAGAGAGAATCCTTCTTAAACAAAACATCTGATGGTGAATAAAAATAGCAGGATTAGAATTAAATGCAAGCGTACAGGGAGAGAATAATCAGCAAGTAAGAAACTCTTGTCTCTTTTACAATTCAGTGTTACACATTTCTAAAGGAGAGATTTTTCCTTCTGTGCTTCCTTTGAGAGGCAAAGTCAGTGGCTTGCACTCACCAACTTTTGCCTAGAAACTGCCAGAGAGGAGAAGCTTTACCTCCATCTCTTCCTACTCTTTCCATACAGCAGTATCATGCCTTAACAGTTGTGCCCTTTCTTACCTGGGCAGGTGCAGTGAACAGAATTGATCAGGTCACACAGAATTAGCAGCTTCTCAGTTACATGAAAGCTGAAAATCTGAGTACAATTTGGCCTGGACAGTAAGCCTGAGCTTCCTTATACCACTCAAACATAATTAATTTGTGTAACCCTGATATATTCTGCCCAAAGCTCGTTCCAAACAGAAACAAACAAATTGGTGGCATTTTGTGAAAATGAATTATTTTGTCTTTTCTTTCAAATACTTTATAAATTTAATCTAAACTCCCAGACTATCTTTGCTGGCAAAACCACAGGACTATATGTCAAAAATTCAGGATTGCAACTCTATTATGACAATGCCAAAACTTTAGTTTATGGTGTTCTTCAGAAAATAAGACTAACATAGATGTTTTCACTCGTGACTTCGAAAGTGTCTTGAGAAAGTGAGAAGCATGAGTCTCAAGGGTTCCTAAGGTTTTAATCTGAAGTCTGCTAGTTCCAGCCAGCTTTACATCACTATAGGTTTTACAGGGAGCAAATCTGCAATTTCAAATGATTGAGTCAGGCTCCAATTGTCAAAACATTTTTAATTTGTGCGCCTAAGTTGAGATGCCCAAAATTGACAGGTAGAACACTTGCTACAGTTAAAAGCATCTGTGGTTGCTGATTGATTTTCAGTGTTTCAAATAACTTATTTTGTGTTCCTACACTTCGAAGCATCTAGAATTAGAAGCAATATATAAAAATGTGCGAAACAATACTTAATGACAGCTATGAGAATCCCGCATTAGGGCCCTATCAGCAAATATCTTTGGCCTAATTTATATAACAAAACAAAAACCCCAGCTTAAACCCCTATTAGTAAACATCTTTGGCCTAAGGTATATAACAAAATAAACTCTAGCCTAAAACTCTATAGTAGTTATAGGACTGACTTGCCTTTAAAAGACTTAAATACATTGCCAGGCTTGCAATAACGACATTAAGAAAAAATAAAATCCAACCCCTAAATGAAATAGATATTTTTATAAAAATATCCAGCCCAGACATGCCCCCATAATGGCAAAAACATCCTCTGAGTGGTAAGGACCTGGTAAAAATCACATTAGCAAAATAACATGGTAAGCATTTTCCAGTGTAGGTTTGCCAGAGCCAGCAACATCTTTGAAACAAACCAATGACTTTCAGTAAACCAGGCTCCTAGAGGTAAATATATATACCAACATACACACCAGGTCAAAAAATCTCAACCAGCTCTAGATAAGTGGATTTTGGCACAGAGCCACTGCAATGCAGAAATACCAGCTGGGATCCTGGAAACAGCACAGCTGTGTTAACATGGCATTATGGCCAGGCTAATTAGTCCTATTAGTGGCACACCGCAAGTTGCGGCTTAGACCCCTAGTTCACAGAGGCATGTCTGAGCATCTTACCCCATAGGCCTAAATATTTTCACTGGCACTCTTCAATAGGAAATATTCCTGTTAGAACCTCCTTGCATACTCTCGTGTCAATACATGCAACTCACTAATGAGGAATGTGGTGAGAGAGTTTTACCAATTTCTGTCAGCCATTTGGCAACAGCTCCATAAATTTCATCAAGTATAAGTATCACAACGAGGTTAATGATGACAGCAGTTGCAGTCACAGTCACTCGAACATTTGACCTGGCTGTCTCACTTGTGCTGAATGACAAAGCTGCTGCTGTTGTGATTCGGTACACAATCACACCAAACACTGCTGAAAACGTCAGCATAATCTGGAAAGAAATGCACAGATAGATTAGTTAAAGCTCGATATTAGCATTTAAACAGAAGCTTTGACTGATATTTTGGTTTTGTTCCATGAATTGTCATTGCTGGTTATTTCCGAGAGCAACAATAATATGGGGGTAATCAAATTAAAACGTGAGAATTCGAAACTTTCTAACAGGGACATAATGAAGAAAATGGATGCAGAATTCTGAACTGGCACAGTTCCTGAAGATCTGCATGTTCACTCTGATTAAAGCTCTACACATTGATGCAGTACTCAAGAAACTCAAGTAGTTTGGCTTCAAATACAGGTATACTAAGCAAGGTCTTTTACCTGGCAATAGGTTTAGATGGCTTGGACCGAAGGGCCTGTGAGTATGCGCAGTCATGTAAATAGGTTTTACTGGCTTTCTCAGCTTCACCTCTGCACAGAGAAGTGGCATCTTATTCTCCAGTTATGTTTGCTCAACTCTTGCCGCAAATGAAATAAAATTTAAAATAAAATTTTTGCCTTGTATTGTTCTTTTCAGACTGAGCTAAACAGGGTTACTAGGATCTTCACTTTACATTTCTGTCCCAGAAATCTGTTGGTATCCTGGAGTCGCTTTACGGGCTGGCTTTGACCCATGAGATGAGGAAAGTCAGACCTGCTAACTTGAGATCAAGGTCTCAGAAGAATAATTTGCTTTTCACAGGGCTGTGCTATTCTGGTTTCAAAAAAAAACCAAAAAAAAAAACAAAACAAAACCCACCCCACAAACCCAAAACCAACCAACAAAAAAAAACAAACAAAACAAACACCAACACTCCACAATGAAAAAAAAAAACAACAATAAATTAGCAATAAAAAACCCAGTAAATTTTCATAGCCATGGCAGAAAAGGGGGAGACGGTACATTTTTCTTTTTCATTTTTGCCTTTGGCAAGAATTCCAATGTACATTCATTATTTTAGGTAAAACATCTTGAGATCCTCAGATGAAAGAGACTACCTAAATGTGAAAGATTAGACTATTGCAATTATTTCAATGGGCCTAAGGGCCCAGATTCACAAGTCATATTTAAGGAAATTTAATAGCTCATTTTAATGACCCAGCAACAATTTATTGAATTCATGTATACAGAGGAAGGTTGTCTTACGAAAAAGTACTATTGCAAAAGAACCAGAAGAAGAATCAGAGCTACATTAAAGGTTGAAGATGAAAACTGGGCACATTTAGATTTAATGGAGAAATAATAAGCATACTAAAAAATAACGATTTGGAGAAACCGTATTTCATTTGATATCAAAATGAATTTGATATCAAACAAAATACATAAATACATTTTGTGAGAAAGTAGTAATAAAGTATTAGATCTAGTAAAACATCTAATTGTGTCTTTTACTGTAAGGAAATGTTTCACTAATTTTAAATTTAGGTGAATGATGAGTTCTGTCTTCATGCTAATGTTTTTCATTCAAATACTGGTCTGAAGAAAAAAGTCTAAATGAAAACATTTCAAATGATATAAAATATTGTTTCTTTTCCTTTTGTAGTTTTTACTGTTTTGATAAAAAAATTCTATTTTTTCTGCCTATTTTTGTCCTTTTCTTTTGACTTACCTACCAAACACGCAGACAAAAATCTGATTTGTGTTGAACAATCAGCTCAGCTCTTGTTGTGACAGAAGTGGTGCAGAAACACAAAGATCAGAACTTTTACCTAACTTGTCCACTGCAGGAGCAAGCACTACAGTAGAGAGTAATATCCCCAATAAAGAGAGAAAATAAAAAAAAGCATCACCTGGCAATAATCTAATTTACCTTCCACCTCTACAGTCACCTTAAGCTCTTTTCCTTTTCCTCGTTTGAGTCACAGATTCCTTTCTCTTAATTACCTTCCAAATACTCTTTTTCTGTTTCTTTCCCCTGTGGATTTCCTTGAAATTTTTACTTTGATGGTGGACAAGGAAAACCAGCGAAGTAAACTTGTATGTATCATTCTGGAGATGATGAGCTCTCTGGGCCTCCATGGACACCTATCTCCATCACAACCTTCCACTTAAAAATGATAACTTAACAGTACAGGAAGAAAAGTGATCATAGACAGTCATCACTAAACAGACAAAGAGGAAATTTCAGGTCATGGAAGCTGAATAGCAAACTCTTAAAACTGACCAAAGGATTTAAGGGATCCATAGCAATGAGGAAGATTACTGGAGGATAAGATACCATCAGAGGCTTGCACTATTGTGGCCTTTTCAAATCATGCAGTGCCATAACAAGACATACAAAGTAACCCAAAAAATATGTTCTATTTGTTTAATGAACAAAGACACTGGTTTTGCAAAAGCACCGGGACTTCAGAAACTCTTTAGTTGCCCAGCTGTTTTTAAACATCTGCTTAGACACAGATGGAAAAATACTCCTTTAGGAGTCTTCATTATCTGTGTATCCAGCAAGAGAAAACTGAGGAGGGCTTGTAGGACTGCACAGTAACTGAAAGCGCAATTCTCACTCCCCAGACAGTCACCGAGAGGGAATGTTCCTGTTCTTCACAGCTTTTCTCCCATTCTTTACAATACCTCTTTTGCCCAAATTCCAGATCAAATGGTCACTTTTCATTCAGGTGCTTACTTTGGGTTTTGTTGTCATTGTCAAATTTTCATCTGGCCAGTTCTATCTCCTGCTATGGCAGACAGTTTCTTCACAGAATATCTAAACTAGTCTGTCAAGGACTGAATTGCTTAGAAACAGATGTGAAAATTGGCTGCAGAAAAGGTCACCTACTGAGCCTGGTATGAATGAAGACAAACAGGAAAGCATACTAGATCTCAGAAGGAAGCTATAAAACCCTGTGGGCTAGACTGATACCTTCATCCAAGCAGGATAACAATTTAATGTCCAAATAGTTCTTTGGCTCCCCAATGGGGATATTCTAGAGTCAAGTATTACGCCATGTGAGTAAGAATAGGGCAACAGCGTCCAAAAGAAGGAACAGGCTGAACTCTTGTGCCATGACACTAGTTGGTTTTTTTCCTTCCTCTGACTGAACCAAATGCAATGAACCCAAAGAAAAGCTCCAGTGATGGCATTGCTCCATACCATCCTGCTCTCTTCCATCAGCTACCAACGTTTTCTTTACATACTCGGAAATCTTTGCTGCAATATGTATGTTCTAAATGAGGCAATTCTAAACTGTGACGTATGTTATTACTAATGTTATTACACACAAGCCAAACTTGTATATACTCAGCTGAGCCTAGACCTTCTGCTACCAGTGGTCTAACTGGGCAAAATAAGACGTGAATTTCTGTTCTAAAATCCCTGCAAAAGACATTGCTCAAATCAAGGCTGTATCTTCTGCATCCTCTGCAGTCAAGTGAGGCTTTGTGTACAACAAAACAGCTGTTACTGGATTTTAAAGCATCCATAAACGTGTAAAATAATCCTGAGAATTATTTGGTGGTGTAAAATACCAAGACTGATTGCTCAAGAGAACCAAACTCAGCACTGTTTTCAACCCGCACTTTTAAAGAAACAAACAGCATACCTAACTTAATAAAGACAGAAGAAAAAAGTACAATACTGTTTTTGAAAGAGGATTCACAAAAGTGAAGTACACAAAAGAAGAGTGCAAATGAAAAAAAAAGAGAAAAGGGTTTATAATAAGAAAACCGATAGCAGCTTCAAGAATTATCAGCAAAAGTACAGCATGTAAAGCTGGGGGAAGGAGGGACAGAACACAGCAGCATCATTCTATAGCAATGTAGACATCTTAATGGAAAATACCTGTTGGTTTGTGCCACCAGACCCTTTGGGCCTGGAAAAGGTGGTATTAAGAATTCAACAATCACTTCTGCAGCACCAGAAATTACAACATATGTGTGTGCATATCTATGTCTGTCTTCTATGTCTGTATGCTGTGTATGTGCACTTGCACACGTAAATTCAAGATTTCATCACCTATTATTCATGTAGTGCTTACAGCTAAAAAACCAGTCTGTGTGAATAATAATAACGGAGGTAGATGAGACCAATTTAGTTTTCTCAGTGCAATTCTATTGCACAGGCTGACAGCAAACTTTAGTCTGGTGTTTCCAATTCCTGTTTAACTAATCTAGCAGGAAAAAAAAGAAACATTACATACAGTAAAGAGCAGATTTTAATCTCCACATGGGAAAGCAGAGCTGGCTTTCCCTTGTCAAGAGTTGACTTGAATTTCATGCATGGTTTGTACGTTGTCTCCTGTAGGTGCTTACATCTTACTAATGCTCAAAATATTTTTAAAAAAATCGCTGTGGCCACTTCTCCAAATGGTGAAAGCCAGTATAGTTCCACTAGTCACTTCAACAGAAGTTGAAGAATTGGAGCTCTGCATTTTACCTTTAAAAATCCATATCTGAGATGTTACAGTGAGCAGGGAGTGTAATATATAGGCTATGACTCAGGAAAGCATTTTAAGCTCATGCTTAGGGGAGTTTTAAACAAGTGGTTAAAGTCAAGAGCCCTTGTCTACAGAAGAAGGACTTGTAAAAGCTAAATTTGGGCTATATACTTAGTCTTACTCAGTGTGCTGTACTCTATAGCAAAGTCCCAACTTATGTCACTTAGAAGCTCTGTCTAAAAAGGAAATACTTGGTATGGCCTCAGGACGATAAACTCACTCAAAATGTTCTAAGTATTTATGTATATATGTATGAACGACTATCCTGGTTTAACCAGGACAATGACACACCTAATATGTACAGAAAATACATTCAATATACAATATGTATATCTTCATAAATATATACACATGTATTTATAAAAATGCAGACATTAATTTGACTTCAATGTGAATATAAAATGGTTTTGATTGTCAGAAGAAGAAATTAAATCTTCACAGGACATCTGTTGCAGTATATGCAAATTCCAGCATATTAGAAATACACTTAGTAATTTTAAAATAATTTAGTCCCTAAGTAAATTTACCATGCCAGATGCTCCTGTGGTATAAACCAGCATATTTCATAGCAATTTTATGCTGTCTTTAGATGTGAATACATACTTTCATTCAGTAATTTCTTTAACCAGAGGGATAGTGGGATCCTTGACAATGTAATTTGAGGTTTATTAGCCAGGCTTTCCTATGGCTGTTTACAAAGTCTAGCAGCTTGATGATGTGTTTATGGTCTGTTGGAAATTTCACTAGGACAGTGGTGTCTGCACTTTACAGTTGCCTGACCTGCGCACCTTATTGTTGTTCTCAAGTGAAGATTGTATACCATGGTCTTCCTTAACTGCAATATAGTCCATCCCTGAAGTGTTTGACATGCACTTCTCAGCAACAGATTTATTTCACCTGTATGTCATCTATTCAGTAGGCTCAACACTTCTGAATGTCATTCTGACAAAGCATATGCAATATTGTGCACACAAGCTAATACACAGGGGGCTTCCCTTCATCACGTAATGGGAGATGGATCAGAAACCCTGTGGGATAGACAGCATCTAGTAATGAGCTGCTCATTACAGCAAATGACCCAGCCAACAGCCCTCTTGTAAGCAGCCTTCGGAAAAAGAGAATAAAGCTGGAGGTAGGCATTGAAGTCTCCGAGTCCTCCTAGTAGGACACATATTTCTCACAAACTGTAGGTTATAAACCTAGCTTTCTTCAGATTTTTAGCATCTTTGAGAACACTAATTCAGGATTCTACTCAAGATGCTTATCGCAGAGTTTATCACACCTAATAAATGTGCAGAAATGAAGATTATATTACCATAAATAAAATCAATCCAAAGTTTGCTGCATATCCAGGCATACGGTCACTCCATGTCAGCTTCTCCTTTTTTTCCTGTGACAACACACAAGGATAAAATAACAGACATTACAGAACTGTAAAATAGCAAATATTAGTGCTAGTAAGATCTGTTATTGAAAAACATTTTCAATTCCCCTGCTCCTGTTGTAATTTTGGACACTGACATTTTAAAGTAGACTTGAGAGAAAAGAGGGTAAGAGGGTAAACAAGGCATATAGAAAATGTCTGCAAAAATCAGAAAATATCATAAGTAACTATGATTTTAATATCTGAAAAAATGTGTTCGGCTCTTACTGAATTTCATGATATCAGGAGAAAGCCCTTAATTTACATTTCGGCAAAGCAAGATTCAACCATTTATTTTGAATTGCTTCTTGTAAAACTTCAGAAAAAAATGCTTGAAACAGAAATTATGAAAAGAATGCTTACAACCATTGAACTTTTTTTTTTTTTTTCTCTAATGGTTACCTTAGCCAAATGTGGGCCCTAAGATAGTTCTTGCAAAGACTCCCCAATCCTTATTCTGGTACTTGGTCTACATAAAAGATAAACTACAAAGGCAAGCCCCCTCTGTGATCTCTGTTGCCAAACCTGTTTTTTTCATGTGCAAACTGCATCTCTCTCTTCATTGCATAATTTAAAGCATCTGTGATCAGTGACATCTACTATGCTTTTACACTCCCCACAAAAACCTAACTCCATCTCTAGTAACGCGTACACCTAAAGAAGAAATTTGAAAGTGGATTTGTATGAGAAATATGACTCCTTCCTTTCAAAATCGGTTTCTTAAAATAATAATAAGGTTATTACTTTGTTTAAATTGAACTAAAACTATATAATCAAATTAGCTAAGGACACAGAGCCAGCTGCTGTTTGCATTTCTGTGAACCACCGTTGCTATCCATTGGACTAGTATTTTACTTACATTGGAGTTAACTTAAAGTTATTCTGAATTTAAGTAAGATTAGAATTCAGGTCAAAGGTCTCAAATAAACAATTTCTAAGGCACAATTGTCCTTAGATAAAAATAAAATCTGGGAGAATTATGCCTTTGAAAAAGGTTTTCCCAAAGTAGCACTAGGAATACAGTATGTACTCCAAGTGCAGAAATGCAGCAGTGAATTTTCTCATGGAGTTTACTGGGACGTGGAATTAGACCAAAGACATGATCCTGTCTACACATCCATTGCCGTTGTGGTGGTGCCTCAAACACTGTGGGAAGTAGTATTAATCGGCATCCCCTATTCGCAGCTCAGCTGTTCAAATGGAATGTTAAGCATGTCTTCTTTGGGAGAACTCTGGTAGGACTGGGTCATAGCAAACCCAAGCAGAAGCATGCAGTACTTAAATGCTCCATACTGTACATAAATGGAGTCCATCATTTAGCTGGAAGGCTACTTTAAAAAGCATTTCTGTGAAAGCACAGATACATTTAATTTCATTTTGGCTTTTACCACCCAGCAATTATACAGGATGTAAAGAAGGTCTAAGTGATTATACTCCAAGAAGGCCTGAAGGACACCATGTCTAACAATTTCACTAGGAGAAAAACACTAAAGAAGCAAATCAGCAGAATGAGTTAATGCTAACCAAAGCATTTAAAGGAAAGAATAAAATCTTTTATAACCATACTGAAGTGGAAAGAGAAAATTGTGATTTATACAAAAGGGCCAAGAAGAGGCAAAAATGACCAAGAAAATTACTTCAAAAACCCCTCTAGAAGTAGAAATTTTGGAAAATAAGAAATCATAATACCAAGATCAAACTTTCACATAACATGAATCACGCTCACCAAATCCTGTGTGGCAAAGTGACTAAGTTTTTTCATGTTTTCAGGTTTTTTGTTCAGTACTTCTGGTGATGTAAGACATTTATTGTATTTTGAAACATCAGCCAGGATTCTGACATGATCTACTGGCTTTCCAAGTCAAGAAAAAATTCTCATATTGGAAGACTCTTGATAACACCTCAGCAATTTACAAAACTGAGAGATCAGGGCATACTTTAAGAAACAATTGTCTATTATGAACAAGAAATAGCTATTTGCCCTGTTTACCCTACCATTCTTTTTGGTTTTGTGTTTGTTTTTGTTGTTGTTGTTAGTAAAATACAACTGGATAGGTAAGAAAAGAAGAAGAAAAACCAGCAAAACTGAGCAAAGATTGACATGTACTTTTAGAGATTAATAACAAAAGCTAAGGTGTGCCTAAATCTACCTTTTTAGGCATTAGGAGACATTAGGATTAATCCATTTAAGGGTCCTAACTTCAGCAGAGTTTAAGGACTACAGTTATTAAAGAGATTGCCCTCTTTAATCTCGGCATGTGTGTTAAAAACGCAGAGGCATCTAGCATCTCCAGTCGTTCTGGAAGCCTTAGGTTTAGCACCTAAATACTTGTTTTACATAAATTACTTCTTTTCAAAAGCACTTTGTACCTGGTGAATTCAATAAAATAAGTTCCTAGAATAAAGATTTAGAAGCATAACTGATTCTTAGAATTTCAATTTAACTAAAATAGGAATAACTAAATTAAAAATGAATGGCCTCCAAAAAAAATTTACCTTACTGAACAGGTGAAAATAGTCCTTTCTCTTGTGGTGGGTTGACCTTGACTGGCTGCCAGATGCCCACCCAGCTACTCTTTCACTCTCCTTCCTCAACAGGATGGGTGAAGAAATTAAGATGAGAAAGCTTGTGAGTTGATGTAAAAAAGGGAAGATAACTTACCAATTGCTATCATGGACAAACCAGACTTGACTTGGAGGAAATTAATTTAATTTATCACAATTTAAAATAGATTTGGATGGTGAGAAAGAAAAACAAAACTAAAATCTCCTTCCACTTCACCACACTCCCAACTTCTGCCCAGCTCTCTCTAGGTGTTGCAGTTCCTTCAGGAAATACCCACCCGCTCTGGCATGGGGTCCTCCACAGGCTGCAGTGTAGGTATCTGCTCCATGGTGACCCTCTCCACAGGTTGCAGGGAAATGCCTGCTCCACCATGGTCTCTCCAGGGGCTGCAGTGAATCTCTGCTCAGGCACCTTGAGCACCTCCTCCCCTCCTTCTGTTCTCACCTTGATGCTCGTAGGACTGCTTCTCACACTTTTTCCCCTCTCTCCTTGTTACCATGCAGCATTTTACCCTTTCTTACACATACTTTCCCAGAGATGCCACCATCTTGCCAAATGGCTCAGCTATGCCCTGCATTGGGTCTGTTGGAGCAGCCTCGGCCACTCCACAGAGAAGCCACCCCTGACGCCACCACTGCCAGTGCCTGGGCACCGGCACCAGGTCATCTATGGTGTTGGTGCAACAGCTTAAAGAAAATCACATTTGCTTTTGAACACTGAACAAGGCAATGCTGGTTGGACAGACCTTGGTGGAGTGACAGACACTTCAACTTGCAATGAATGCCACAAACGGGGAAATTAGGAAAAGGAGAGAGGAGAATGTGTGCATTGGAAAGGACAAGTGGATGCCATCTAGACAGCTTTCTGTTTCATGTATATGCTTCCTTTAATCTTTGGTGACTTTGCCATGAGTTTGCCATTCTCTGTAACACTTAGCCAAAGGGCGATCAGAACAACATGCCTGAGTTGTTATGACATTAGGAGAAGAAAGAAAAAGCTGGATGAAAATATTACAGAATTACTTAGACAGCACATATGTTATAAAACAAATTATGAAATATAGTAGGCAGCTGAAAGATACTTCATGTTACAGCTCTTGCTAAGAAAACCAAATCTGTACATTTACTTGGCATTTTCTATTGCACCTGATTCTACTCTCTGGCAATAGTGCCATCTAGCCGCTGAAAGACTGTACTGTTAAGCATCAGGAACACCTTGTCTGCGACCAAAATATTACACTTGCACACTGTGGTTTATTCTAAGTTAGTGCAAATCATTCATAGATTTCTCATAGGATACAGCACATATCCCATTGTAATAAATAACGTGAACTACAGAACATTGCCTAAATTTTAGATGGGGGTAGGAAAGATTGATGAAAACTCAGTCAAGCAGGCGGGGAATCTATCTGGAGCAGTCTAAGAGGTGTATGCATTTATGAATGAAACAAGATGAAACTGATCATCTGAAGAACAATCTCAATGAAAGGTATGTTACACTGGCAATATTTCCCTAGAGAAAATCTACTGCAGGGAAATATTTATATGCAGACAGAAAACCTCAGGATAGCGAATATATTTTATGGTGAACAAGAGAAACTAAAAGATATATCTTAAAATCTTTCTGTCAGATTCTTTAAATACAGTGATGTGTTTACAATTGTATTGGAGGAAAAAGATAGTTGTTGTTCTGGTTGTAGTGATATGTTCCTGTTTTAATGTCTAATGTTGTGTTGGATGTGTTCCTTGCAGGAATACAATTCTTTCCTATTAGAAAATAAAAAATAAAATTTAAGAAAAATCAGAAAAGAAATAAAAACTAAGCACCATCTAGGTTTTGCTGGATTTCGTATTTTGTTTTGAGTTACCTAACATGGAAAAGACCCAACATGTGCAGCTCTGCATCCTCAGGTGGGCCTCTGAGCTGTGGAAGCCTGGAAATATACTGCACTTGGACAGCACCAAGCGGCTTTATGAAAACAGTTCTCTGTTTGTGAATTAAACCACAGCCAGTTTGCTCAGATCACAAGCATTTCAGTTATTTATTTATATTTTCCCACAAGAGAACACTTCCTCAAAGCAGGTGTTTCTAACCATCAGCCATGCCAGCTCAAACTACACTTGGGAAGTAAAGCAATATACTTTCTCTCTTCTGCGTTCTGCTTTTCTGAAGTTCAGGCTCTTCAGTGCAGTTGCACCTGGGCAACCCCAGTGACTTTGCTGTACTTTCACAGGACTGCAATAATTGACTGGAACTTAGTAGAAGATGCACAGGGAAGAATAGAATCCAGGACCCCTCTCACTTGGCTTACTAAGGTCTTGCACAGCTATCAACAGCAAAAAACTGAAAAAATATATTTCTGATTACAAAATCCAGAAGTTCATGTCTAAGT